AGGAGAGTGTCAAGGTGACCTAACAGTCTCTTGTTGTCAACAGGAGAGTGTCAAGGTAACATAATTGCATGTTGTCAACAGGAGAGTGTCAAGGTGACGTAACTGTCTGTTGTCAACAGGAGAGTGTCAAGGTGACCTAACAGTCTGTTGTTGTCAACAGGAGAGTGTCAAGGTGACATAACTGCCTGTTGTCAACAGGAGAGTGTCAAGGTGACCTAACTGTCTGTTGTCAACAGGAGAGTGTCAAGGTGACCTAACTGTCTGTTGTCAACAGGAGAGTGTCAAGGTGACCTAACAGTCTGTTGTTGTCAACAGGAGAGTGTCAAGGTGACCTAACAGTCTGTTGTTGTCAACAGGAGAGTGTCAAGGTGACATAACTGCCTGTTGTCAACGGTAGAGTGTCAAGGTGACCTAACTGTCTGTTGTCAACAGGAGAGTGTCAAGGTGACCTAACTGTCTGTTGTCAACAGGAGAGTGTCAAGGTGACCTAACAGTCTGTTGTTGTCAACAGGTCAACAGGAGAGTGTCAAGGTGACCTAACTGTCAGTTGTCAACAGGAGAGTGTCAAGGTGACCTAACTGTCTGTTGTCAACAGGAGAGTGTCAAGGTGAAATAACTGTCTGTTGTCAACAGGAGAGTCTCAAGGTGACCTAACTGTCTGTTGTCAACAGGAGAGTGTCAAGGGGAAATAACTGCCTGTTGTCAACCGGAGAGTGTCAAGGTGACGTAACTGCCTGTTGTCAACAGGAGAGTGTCAAGGTGACATAACTGCCTGTTGTCAAGAGGAGAGTGTCAAGGTGACGTAACTGCCTGTTGTCAACAGCATACTGTCAAGGTGGCCTAACTGTCTGTCGTCAACAGGAGAGTGTCAAGGTGACATAACTGTCTGTTGTCAACAGGAGAGTGTCAAGATGACCTAACTGTCTGTTGTCAACAGGAGACTGTCAAGGTGACCTAACTGCCTGTTGTGAACAGGAGAGTGTCAAGGTGACCTGTCTGTTGTCAACAGGAGACTGTCAAGGTGACTTAACTGCCTGTTGTCAACAGGAGAGTGTCAAGGTGACCCAACTGCCTGTTGTCAGCGAGAGATTGCCAAGGTGACCTAACTGCCTGTTGTCATCAGGAGACTGTCAAGGTGACCTAACTGCCTGTTCTCAACAGAAGAGTGTCAAGGTGATCTGTCTTTTGTTTTCAAAGGGAAAATGTCAAAGTGACCTAACTGTCTGTTGTTTTTGACAAGAGACTGTCAAGGTAACCTAATTGTCTGTTTTTGTCAACAGGAGATTGTCAAATTGTCCTGTCTGTTTTTGTCAACAGGAGACTGTCAGCGTGACCTGACTGCCTGTTGTTGTCAACAGGAGACTGTCAAGTTGACCTAACTGTCTGTTGTTGTCAACAGGAGAGTATCAAGGTGACCTAACTGCCTGTTGTTGTCAACAGGAGACTGTCAAGGTGACCTAACTGCCTGTTGTTGTCAACAGGAGTGTCAAGGTGACCTGCCTGTTGCTTCAACAGGAGAGTGTCAAGGCGACCTGTCTGTTGGTGCCAACAGGCGAGTGTCAAGGTGACCTAACTGCCTGTTGTTGTCAACAGGAAACTGTCAAGGTGACCTAACTGCTTGTTGTTGTCAACAGGAAACTGTCAAGGTGACCTAATTGCCTGTTGTTGTCAACAGGAGAGTGTCAAGGTGACCTAGCTGTCTGTTGGTGTTAACATGAGTGTCAAGGTGAACTAGCAGCCTGTTGCTGCTGGCAACAGGCACCAAACACTGTTTTTTTTTATAATATATATACATTGATTCCTCGTTGTAAAGTGACCATTTGACTGTTGGGGCAGGCATGAGGCATGGGGTGGGTGGGGAAGGGTGGGTGATGAGTAGGGAGAGAATGAAATGAAAGAACTGTTGGGGTGGAGAAATGAATGCAAGGGAAATAAAAATGAATGCAGAGGAAAAGGCCCTTTGGTAAGGGGGGTTTAAAAGGCCCTTTGGTAAGTTTTTTAAAAGGCTCTTTTGGAAGGGGGTGTTTTAAAAGGCCCTTTGTAAGTTTTTTAAAAAGGCTCTTTGGATAGGGGGTTTAAAAGGCCCTTTGGTAAGTTTTTTAAAAAGCTCTTTGGGAAGGGGGGTTTAAAAGGCCCTTTGGTAAGTTTCTTAAAAAGCTCTTTGGGAAGGGGGGTTTAAAAGGCCCTTTGGTAAGTTTTTTAAAAGGCTCTTTGGTAAGGGGGGTTTAAAAGGCCCTTTGGTAAGTTTTTTAAAAAACTCTTTGGGAAGGGGGGTTTAAAAGGTCCTTTGGTAAGTTTTTTAAAAGGCTCCTTGGTAAGGGGGTTTAAAAGGCCCTTTGGTAAGTTTTTTAAAAGGCTCTTTGGGAAGGGGGTTTAAAAGACTCTGAGAAGGATATAAAGGCCTCTTTGGGAGAAGGTTTAAAAGGCTCTTTGTGAATGGGGTTTAAATGGGTCATATAGACTCTAAAAGGTTCATGGAGAGGGGTGCTAAAAGGCTTTTTGATGAGTATTTAAAAAGCTCTTTTGGGGTGTGGGTTCAAAAGGCTCTTGGGAGTGTGGGTTTAAAAGGCTCTTGGGAGTGTGTGTTTAAAAGGCTCTTGGGAGTGTGGGTTTAAAAGGCTTTTTGGAGTGTGAGTTTAAAAGGCTTTTGGGAGTGTGTGTTTAAAAGGCTTTTAGGAGTGTGGGTTTAAAAGGCTCTTGGGAGTGTGGGTTTAAAAGGCTCTTGGGAGTGTGGGTTTAAAAGGCTTTTGGGAGTGTGAGTTTAAAAGGCTCTTGGGAGTGTGGGTTTAAAAGGCTTTTGGGAGTGTGGGTTTAAAAGGCTTTTGGGAGTGTGGGTTTAAAAGGCTTTTGGGAGTGTGGGTTTAAAAGGCTTTGGGAGTGTGGTTTAAAAGGCTCTTGGGAGTGTGGGTTTAAAAGGCTTTTGGGAGTGTGGGTTTAAAAGGCTTTTGGGAGTGTGGGTTTTAAAAGACTTTTGGGAGTGTGGGTTTAAAAGGCTTTTGGGAGTGTGGGTTTAAAAGGCTTTTGGGAGTGTGGGTTTAAAAGGCTTTTGGGAGTGTGGGTTTAAAAGGCTTTTGGGAGTGTGGGTTTAAAAGGCTTTTGGGAGTGTGGGTTTAAAAGGCTTTTGGGAGTGTGGGTTTAAAAGGCTTTTGGGAAAGGGGTTACGTATGGTAAATGTATTTACAAGTTCAGGGTTTAGAGCCTCTCTTTGTGACTCGCGGGTTTAGCGCTGGTTTATATCCAGGTGATGATGATAATAATAATTATTACAACATAATAAAATACAATAATAATAATAAATAAATTACAATAATAATAATTACAATATAAATTACAATAATTACAATATAAAAATTACAATAATAATAATACAATAATAATCATATAAATAATAAATAAATATAATAATAATAATAATAATAAGATAATTATAATAATAATAAATAATAATAATAATAATAATAATATAATAATAATAATAATAATAATAAAGATTTAAATAATAATAATAATAATAATAATAAAAAATAATATAATAAAAAAATATATTAAAATAATAATAATAATAATAAATAATAATATAATAATAATAATATAATAATAATAAATAATAATAATAATAATAATGCTATTTTTCAAGTTATACGAAAATATAATTGAGAATGATCAGGTCTTGATCCTAGGAAGTGGAGCTCTTCCTCCACTTCCTGGATCAACCTTACACTAGGAAACAGTGAGCAGGGGCAGCAGGCGGTAGCTTGGGATATACACTATGAGATATACTCGTATATATACTTCGAGGATAAGCTCTTAGTTCAGGAGTATATACACTGAGAGGTATATCTCTCAGTGTATGTAACTGAGGTATATCCCTGTATGTATATGAGGTATATCTCTCAGTATATGTATACTGAGAGGTATATCTCTCAGTGTATGTATACTGACAGGTATATCTCTCAGTGTATATACACTGAGAGATATCTCTCTCAGTATACATACACTGAGAGGTATCTCTCTCAGTGTATGTATACTGAGAGGTGTATCTCTCAGTGTATGTATACTGAGAGGTATATCTCTCAGTGTATGTATACTGACAGGTATATCTCTCAGTGTATAATACACTGAGAGATAATATCTCTCAGTATACATACACAGAGAGGTATCTCTCTCAGTGTATGTATACTGAGAGGTGTATCTCTCAGTGTATGTATACTGAGAGGTATATCTCTCAGTATTTGTATACTGAGAGGTATATCTCTCAGTGCATGTATACTGAGAGGTATATATCTCAGTGTATGTATACTGAGAGGTGTATCTCTCAGTGTATGTATACTGAGAGGTGTATCTCTCAGTGCATGTATACTGAGAGGTATATATCTCAGTGTATGTATACTGAGAGGCGTATCTCTCAGTGTATGTACACTGAGAGGTATATCTCTCAGTGTATGTACACTGAGAGGTATATCTCTCAGTGTATGTACACTGAGAGGTATATCTCTCAGTGTATATACACTGATAGGTGTATCAGTGTATATACACTGAGAGGTGTGTCTTAGTGTATATACACTGACATATGTGTCTCGCGGTATATACACTGAGAGTTTAATCAGTATTTTAAGTATTATTCATGACTGGTGGTGAACAGGTGACATGCAGCCTTAATGACCCTCGTGTAGTTGTCAAACTTTAAATCTAACAATCCAACCATCATGTAGTCGACAGGCTTCAAACCTAATAAGCCAACCAAGCTCTCAGTAACATTCCGAGCTGACCTTATTGAAGGCCAGACTCATATGTGTGTGTGTGTGTGTGTGTGTGTGTGTGTGTGTGTGTGATATATATATTTATATTTATATGATAATTATATATATATTATATTATATATATAATATAATATATATATATATATATATATATATATATATATATATATATATATATATATATATATATATAATATAATATATATATATTGCTTTTCTACTGTCATTTTTTTTACACTAACGCATCTCTGATCTAATATATATATATGATGTATTATGTACAAGGCAAGACAGATGATATGGTAGGTAGGGTGATTGTGTTGATTTCCACTGTACAGGAGTTGAGACGAACTAACCAGGTTTACAGTGTCGGGTGGGGTAAACAGTTTTTTGGAGGGTATTCTATAATATATCGAGGAGTAGACTTGGTACAGAGTATACTTTTTTTCCTTTACGGCACATGGTTACTGATCTGTTTGGTAATGGTAGATGGGGGTGAGGATTTTAAACTAAGACATTTCCCACAAGGCACAGCAACACCAGGAGTGCTGAGTGATCGATCCTCAGTACTTCAGATGTGGTGGATTGGTCCCAGTCCCACCAAGGGGGCCGTGACGGTCTTGAATCCCCCTGTTCCCCCATCGCGTGATGGGGGTGTCTCTTCTTGTCCGTAGGGGGCTGGGATGGTGTTCTGTGATTGGGCCGGGGATGCGTCACCTGGCCTCTGGTGACGATGTCCTCGTGTCTCGTGCTTGTGTCCTCGCGAGACCGAGGGCCGTAGGGGATTTCGTTGCTGAATTCGACCGGGGAGTGGCCGCCCCCCGCGCCGCCCCCGCCGCGCCCACCAGGCTGGCCGAAGTCCTCATTCTCCTCTACCATCGCTGGCTCCTCCGTCGGTAGTTCAATCTCTGTTGAAGAAGAGAGTCATCACTTGGGTGACCGCAGCAGCTGATGACTGTAAACAAACGTCAGCTGATGGATATAAACAAACATCAGCTGATGGGTTTAAACAAACATCAACTGATGAGTGTGAGCATCAGTGATATGTGTAAACATCAGCTGATATGTGTAAACATCAACTGATATGTGTAAACATCAGCTGATATGTGTAAACATCAGCTGATATGTGTAAACATCAGCTGATATGTGTAAACATCAACTGATATATGTAAACATCAGCTGATATGTGTAAACATCAACTGATATGTGTAAACATCAGCTGATATGTGTAAACATCAACTGATATATGTAAACATCAACTGATATGTGTAAGCATCAACTGATATGTGTAAACATCAGCTGATATGTGTAAACATCAACTGATATGTGTAAGCATCAACTGATATGTGTAAACATCAGCTGATATGTGTAAACATCAACTGATATGTGTAAACATCAGCTGATTGATGTCCACAAACATCAGTTGATGAGTGTATAATAGCCTCCAGATGATTGCTTGAACTCATCTATTCCCATCACCTTAATTACTCTCTCTTTCTCTCTCAAACATCTCTCCGTCTCACCATAGACCTTAATTTTGCCCTGCGTCTCTCCAAGAGAATTCTTAGCAGTGCAGAAGTAGACTCCTTTGTGATGAGGCTTGAAGCTGGAGATGGTAAGAGTCATTCTCGTCATGTAGAAGTTAGTAAGAGACTCTTGTACACTGTATTCGTTGTTGCTGATGAGCATTTCTCCTGTGAGAGAGACAGAGAGACGGGGTTGGTTAATTGGTCTCAAAGGGGTGTTAAGGAGCACGTCAATTCACCTGTCTTCTAATAACGTGTTCATTTTTCCACTATAATCTACCTTGTCTATAATTACTATGGCATTTGCTGTTTCGTAAGGTGAAGTCCAGGATCTTTCCTTAATTCATGGTATAACTTAATAAAGCTTTCTTGACAATTATGTTGTAGAGGTGAATTTACGTGCCCCTTAAGGCTGCATGTCACCTTCTCACCACCAGTCAAGGATACATTAGTACCTGAATGAGTTGAGAGATATGGGTGTTGTGGAGGCGATCTGAAGTGAGAGGTGAGGAGGGGTAGGAGGTGTGAGGGGACTAACCTGTGTCCCTTGTCCAGTACTGGATAGACTTCGGTGAAGCCTCCAGGTTGCACTCCAGTTTCGCTGAACTGCCCAGAGGAACACCGATCAGTTGGTTGGGTACATGGATCACTGGACGGACTAGGGAGAAGGAAACACCTGTTAAAACACCTGTCATTACACCTGTTAAAACACGAATCATTATACCTGTTAAAACACCTATCATTACACCTCTTAAAGCACCTGGCATTACATCTGTTAAAACACCTGTCATTACACCTGCTAAAACACCTGTCATTACACCTGCTAAAACGCCTGTCATTACACCTGTCGTTACCTCTCGTTAACACCTGTTACCTCCGGCACCCGTCCTGGCACCTGTCACTGCTGTTACACCTGTCAACCATCGTTATACACAAGTTAACACACCTAACACAATCACTAATAACTAAAAATACTAATGACATTAACAAGTGTTAACGAGGAAGTTAAGGGAGATTAGTTAACAAGCCTAAACTACCTAGAAAATGCTAATAATCCAATTTAGCATCAATAACCTCGTTAATAAAGTCTAAGTTAGTCGTTAACGGCGTACGTTAGTTGTCACTACTAGAAGACAACGGGAAGTTATTTTAACAGTAATAATTAATGTTAGAAAGGTAATACACAGAGTAACTAGCGGTAATTAGTTACTACTTCCCTTAATTAGGCGCTAACAATCAGTAACTACCTAACAACAAGCAGTAGCAGGTATTAATTAGGTGTAACAATCTGTTAACTAGCAGTAGCTGGCTAGTATATAGTAGTAATGGGCTATTAACTAGCAGAAACTAGCAAGAAGTAGGTAGGATATTCTAGCTAAGTACTTAGAATATACTAACAATGCACTTCGACCATGATTCTCTTGCTAACGATGGGAGGTACGCTGTTGTTAGCAATGCAGAGGTATGGCCCCATGTCTGAGCGGGTGATCTGAGTGAGATTCAGTACCTCCCCTTCGTAACTCAGCTCTGTAAGGGAGAGACAAGGGAGAGAGTAAGGGAGGGAAGGGAGCCCAGCTGCTAGATACACAGCAAAACAAACGTAAACACACACAAACACCTCACAAAACTCACTTTTTATCTTAGGCATAGCCGGGTCGTTGGTCCGCATGACTATGGGTTTCTGATCCTCTCTGGTCCAGGTGATCTTAGGGGGCGGGTAGCCCTTAGCACGACACACAATAGGGGCGTTGGAGCCCTCAGGGACCATCACGTCTGTGGATGACCTGTTGTCCTCTATCTCTGGTGGCACTGTGACCTCCAGGTACCCGATCTGCTGGTGGGAAACGTAGGTAGTGGTAGTAGCCGTACAGTAGTGGTACCAGTAATAGTAGTAATAATAATAGAAGCAATCGTAGAAGTCGTAGCATTAGTAGTAATAGTAGTGGTAGTGGTGGTGGTAGTAGTAGTAGCAGTAATAGTAGTAGTAGTAGTAGTAGCAGTTACCAGGCTTTATGTATGAATAGTCCTCAAGTATGCAGCGCCAGTGTGGAGCCCACATTTAATAAGACGCAGGAAAAAATCGAAAAGATACAAAGGTACGCAACAAGACTGGCACCAGAGCTGAGAAATGAAAGAAGCTATAACGAGAGACCGAGTTCGCGGGCAGGAAGATCCTGGCGAGGTGACATGAAAACGACGTACGAAATACTTCGAGAGGCAGATAATTAAAATAAATCGAGGAATAACGTGGTCTCTCTCTCTCTGTCTCTCTCTCTCTCTCTCTCACGTCACATCTGGTGGAGGTGGGAGGCCTTCAATACAGTGACATGTTCAAAAATCAGTAGAGACGCGAGCCAAGATTGGATGCTGCAGCCTCAGCCTTCTCTCTCTCTCTCTCTCTCTCTCTCTCTCTCTCTCTCTCTCTCTCTCTCTCTCTCTCTCTCTCTCTCTCTCTCTCTCTCTCTCTCCTCTCTCTCTCTCTCATCCCTCTCTCTAATATCTCTTCTCATACCTCCCTTACATATTTTTATCCCTGCCTTTGCATCCTGTTTCTGCATTAGTGTGTGCTGTTGCACACACACACAAACACACACACACACACACACACACACACACACACACCACACACACACACACACACACACACACACACACACACACACACACGAAATAAGCATCTTCCACATCAAATCAAACCAGGTCAAGACAAACCCCCATCACCAGGTGAAGACAGACCACCCCACAAGGTCAAGACAGACTCCCACTAGGTCAAGACAGGTCACCTCGGCTTACGATAAAAGAGTAAACAGTCCAGCACACATCCATGAATAAACAGGAGAGATTCCGTTACCACGACAACATCTAGCATGCTGACCGTCATATACAAGTACTATGTATGATCTCTCTCCAGGAAAACCTTCCTCCCGGTAACCTTTTAACAAGTGACAATCACAGCCAGAGACAAATAAATCACATGAATCAGATAGATTTAATTCTGATTGTAATAAAATTATTAATAAATCATTAATAAAATTATTCAATACAGCTTAAAGATGGGTAAAGATTCAGTGGGTCCAAGACAGTAGGGACCCAAGACATTAGGGGCCTTAGACGAAGAGGTCCAAGACAGTAGGGATCCCAAGAGTGGAAGGTCACAAGATAGATAGACAGATAGAAGAGAGAAGAGAGAGAGAGAGAGAGAGAGAGAGAGAGAGAGAGAGAGAGAGAGAGAAGGACACCCACACTAACTACAAACAAGACCATCACTCCACTTTTTGACACTAAAAGGGAAATGGTACCTGATTGCCCCCTCCCCCCCCATTCTTTATGTGGCACGTTTTATGGGGATGGGGAAGCTGGGGACTGACCCCTCGTTAGTCGCAGAAAAGCCTCGTTAAAGAGTGATGGATTTGGCAGGTCACACTGTGGAAGTCTCTCTACAGTGGTAGTTCTTAAGTGATTTATAAGTGGGAATAAGACCCCTTACCTGATTTTCTTCTCCTGAGATTATTATTATTATTATATATTATATTATTATTATTATTATTATTATTATTATTATTATTATTATTATTATTATTATTATTATTATTTATTATTATTATTATTATTATTATTATTATTATTATTATTATTATTATTATTATTATTAATGATATCATCATCATTATTATTAAAGCAAACGCTAAACCGGTATGAATTACACAACACTCGGGTCGACAGTACCTGTATGCAGGTCGACAGTACCTGCACCCAGGTCAATAGTACCTGTATCTAGGTCGACAGTGCCTGTATCCAGGTTGACAGTGCCTGTATCCAGGTCAACAGTACCTGTATCTAGGTCGACAGTGCCTGTATCCGGGCCGACAGTACCTGTATCCAGGTCGACAGTACCTGTATCCAGGTCGACAGCACCTGTATGCAGGTCAACAGTACCTGTAACTAAGTCGATAGTACCTCTAAGTCGATAGTACCTCTAAGTCGACAGTACCTGTATCTAGAACGACAGTACCTGTCTCCAGGTCGACAGTACTTGTATCTAGGTCGACAGTACCTGCATCTAGGTCGACAGTACATGTATCCAGGTGCACAGTACCTGTATCTAAGTCGACAGTACCTGAATCTAGGTCGACAGTATTTGTATCTAGGTCGACAGTACCTGTCTCCAGGTCGTCAGTCAAAATTCAACTCCTAGGGACCATTGACTCAACCCCCTCCCCCTACATACAAAACAATCACTCAATCCCCCTATTTTTTATCCTTTTCATGAGGTCGACGTGTCGAAGGGGGTCGATTGGAGTGTGTGTGTAGTACGGTCGAGTATCCTACAGTGTCCCAAAGGTATCAACGCCTCTACGGTTGAGCGTGGAGATGGAAAGTTGATGTCCGCTTGATAGAGAGACAATTTCGAAGTTGAATAGGGGGGATATTTTGGACCAGTCAGGTGTATTATAAGGTGTGAAGGGAGAGGGTAAGGGGAGGAGGGGTAAAGGGGAGAGAAAAGGGGAGATAGTGCTGAAAGCTCAAGTCGGGTGAAAAATAGACTGAAAGAGATGCGTGTATGTCATCTTAGAGAGAGAGAGAGAGAGAGAGAGAGAGAGAGAGAGAGAGAGAGAGAGAGAGAGAGAGAGAGAGAGAGAGAGAGAGAGAGAGAGAGAGAGAGAGAGAGAGAGAGAGAGAGAGAGTGATAGAAATAGATGTTTAGCTAATCAGTTGGATGTTTGCGCCCTGACTCTCCGTCAGCTGATCTTTGTTTACATCAATCAGCTGATTTATATTTACCCCATCAGCTGATTGCTATTTATCCCCTCTTATCAGCTGATGTTTGTTTACACCAATCAGTTGACCTCAGAGAGAAGGTGTGGCACTGACCTCGAGGAACCAAGGGAAAGTGGGTGCCACTGCCCTCAATGAACGAAGAGAAAATGATACTGGTACTTACCTTAAGGCACCAAGAGAAAAAGTATGGCACTGACCAATGACCTTGTAAAACATTACGAGGAACCCACAATGGGAACTCCAATGACTTCAGTGGAAATTTCCTAGGACCCCAGTGGAAATTCCAAGGACTCCGATGGAAATTCCAAGGACTCCAATAGAAATTTCCAAGGACTCCAATAGAAATATCAAAAGGACTCCAATGGAAATTCCTAGGATTCCAAGGGAAATTTCCAAGGACTCCAATGGAAATTCCTAGAACTCCAATGGAAATTTCCTAGGACCCCCAGTGGAAATTCCTGGGACCCCAGTGGGAATTCCAAGAACTCCAATGTAAATCCCAAGGAACCAATGGAAGTTCCTAAGACCCCAATGGAAACAAGTCACATTGTCTGACGTTTTTTGGGGGTCATCCTGGGTAATTTACGCATATATTATAATGTACATACACTGTATCTACGTGCACAACAGGATTCGAACCTGCAAACTCTGCGTCAGAGTACAGAGTACTTTATCGACGACGCCAGACCCTGGGTCTGGCGTCGTCGAGGTTCGAATCCCGCTGTGAACGTAGAGCATATGTTTATAAATAATTTCGCCTGTTTGCGAATTGTTAAACATGTGTTACTATATATAATAATTTGTATAACTGTATTTATGTGTACCTGTACCTATATAAACTTACTTAAGAATCACGTCTTATGATTGGCACTAAAACGCCGGTTTAGATACAAAAAAAACGAGTGGCACTGACCTGTGACCTCATGGGGTCAGTGTTGATTTGGCACATGTATGGTCCTCTGTCCTCCTCCTGGACGCCACGGATGTGAAGCATCCAGGTGTTGTGGTCACTATGGCTGACTGAGACGCGAGAGTTGTGGGTGATGACGTGCTTATGGATGGCCTGGATGGCTTTTGTATCTGCCTTCACCCACCCGACCTGTGGACCCAGAGAGCTAGTTCTTGCTGGGTGTGAGGGTGGGGGCGTGGGTGTGGGTGCGGGTGGGGTGGTGTGGTGCGGGGTGGGGCGTGGGTGTGGGGTGGATGGATGACAGGGGCGTTTGGAGGTTAGAAAAGCGAGTAGAGACATAAGTAATCCCTACCTATGTGAATCATATTCCTGGTTGACTTGAACTCTGATCAGTCTAATATTCTGATCGTCTAGTACTCTGATCGACTGGTATTCTGATCGACTAGTATTCTTGTTGACTAGTACTCTGGTCAATGAGGTTATTCAGTGGCTCACTACATCTTACGTCAACTTGTCCTGCTGTCAGCTTGAGTATAGGAAAGCAGCACAGGAGCTGAGACTCGACCCCTGAGTACAGACTTCTTACCAAGTCTAGATGACCAGAAAGAAAAAAAAAACTGCATTCTTCTTCACCTGATCCCAGGTACCATGATGGCCTGGATCATACATTATGAACCAGTGTAATATCCTAACCCATCCGTCAGAGTGCAGGCACTGTACTTCCCCACCTCCAGAACCACAACATCCCCACCCATTCTTCAGGGTGCAGGCACTGTACTTCCCCACCTCCAGAACCACAACATCCCCACCCATTCTTCAGGGTGCAGGCACTGTACTTCCCACCTCCAGAACCACAACATCCCCACCCAACCTTCAGAGTGCAGGCACTGTACTTCCCCACCTCCAGAACCACAACATCCCCACCCATTCTTCAGGGTGCAGGCACTGTACTTCCCCACCTCCAGAACTACAACATCCCCACCCATTCTTCAGGGTGCAGGCACTGTACTTCCCCACCTCCAGAACTACAACTTCCCCACCCATTCTTCAGGGTGCAGGCACTGTACTTCCCCACCTCCAGAACTACAACATCCCCACCCATTCTTCAGGGTGCAGGCACTGTACTTCCCCACCTCCAGAACTACAACATCCCCACCCATCCTTCAGGGTGCAGGCACTGTACTTCCCCACCTCCAGAACTACAACATCCCCACCCATCCTTCAGAGTGCAGGCACTGTACTTCCCCACCTCCTGAACACAACATCCCCACCCACTTCAGGTGCAGCACTGTACTTCCCCACCTCCAGAACCACAACATCCCCACCCAACCTTCAGAGTGCAGGCACTGTACTTCCCCACCTCCAGAACTACAACATCCCCACCCATTCTTCAGGGTGCAGGCACTGTACTTCCCACCTCCAGAACTACAACATCCCCACCCATTCTTCAGGGTGCAGGCACTGTACTTCCCCACCTCCAGAACTACAACATCCCCACCCATTCTTCAGGGTGCAGGCACTGTACTTCCCCACCTCCAGAACTACAACATCCCCACCATTCTTCAGGGTGCAAGCACTGTACTTCCCCACCTCCTGAACACAACATCCCCACCCATCTTCAGGGTGCAGGCACTGTACTTCCCCACCTCCAGAACACAACATCCCCACCCACTTCAGGTGCAGGCACTGTACTTCCCCACCTCCAGAACTACAACATCCCCACCCATTCTTCAGGGTGCAGGCACTGTACTTCCCACCTCCAGAACTACAACATCCCCACCCATTCTTCAGGGTGCAGGCACTGTACTTCCCACCTCCAGAACCACAACATCCCCACCCATTCTTCAGGTGTAAGCACTGTACTTCCCCACCTCCAGAATACAACATCCCCACCCATTCTTCAGGGTGCAGGCACTGTACTTCCCCACCTCCAGAACTACAACATCCCCACCCATTCTTCAGGGTGCAGGCACTGTACTTCCCCACCTCCAGAACTACAACATCCCCACCCATTCTTCAGGGTGCAGGCACTGTACTTCCCCACCTCCAGAACTACAACATCCCCACCCAACCTTCAGAGTGCAGGCACTGTACTTCCCCACCTCCAGAACCACAACATCCCCACCCAACCTTCAGAGTGCAGGCACTGTACTTCCCCACCTCCAGAACACAACATCCCCACCCAATCCTTCAGGTGCAGGCACTGACTTCCCCACCTCCAGAACTACAACATCCCCACCCATCTTCAGGTGCAGGCACTGTACTTCCCCACCTCCAGAACTACAACATCCCCACCCAACCTTCAGAGTGCAGGCACTGACTTCCCCACCTCCTGAAACCTACAACATCCCCACCCATTCTTCAGAGTGCAGGCACTGTACTTCCCCACCTCCAGAACACAACATCCCCACCCAACTTCAGGTGCAGGCACTGTACTTCCCCACCTCCAACTAGAACATCCCACCCATTCTTCAGGGTGCAGGCACTGTACTTCCCACCTCCAGAACTACAACATCCCCACCCATTCTTCAGGGTGCAGGCACTGTACTTCCCCACCTCCAGAACCACAACATCCCCACCCAACCTTCAGAGTGCAGGCACTGTACTTCCCCACCTCCAGAACTACAACATCCCCACCCATTCTTCAGGGTGCAGGCACTGTACTTCCCACCTCCAGAACTACAATATCCCCACCCATTCTTCAGGGTGCAGGCACTGTACTTCCCCAACTCCAGAAGTACAACATCCCCACCCATTCTTCAGGGTGCAGGCACTGTACTTCCCCACCTCCAGAACTACAACATTCCCACCCATCTTCAGGGTGCAGGCACTGTACTTCCCACCTCCAGAACCTACAAATCCCCACCCATTCTTCAGGGTGCAGGCACTGTACTTCCCCACCTCCAGAACTACAACATCCCCACCCATTCTTCAGGGTGCAGGCACTGTACTCCCCACCTCCAGAACCACAACATCCCCACCCATCCTTCAGGGTGCAGGCACTGTACTTCCCACCTCCAGAACACAAATTCCCCACCCATCTTCAGGGTGCGGCACTGTACTTCCCCACCTCCAGAACACAACATCCCCACCCATCTTCAGGGATGCAGGCACTGTACTTCCCCACCTCCAGAACCACAACATCCCCACCCACCTTCAGGTGCAGGCACTGTACTTCCCCACCTCCAGAACCACAAATCCCCACCCATTCTTCAGGGTGCAGGCACTGTACTTCCCACCTCCAGAACAAACATCCCCACCCATTCTTCAGGGTGCAGGCACTGTACTTCCCCACCTCCAGAACCACAACATCCCCACCCATTCTTCAGGGTGCAGGCACTGTACTTCCCCACCTCCAGAACTACAACATCCCCACCCATTCTTCAGGGTGCAGGCACTGTACTCCCCACCTCCAGAACCACAACATCCCCACCCATCCTTCAGGGTGCAGGCACTGTACTTCCCACCTCCAGAACCACAACATCCCCACCCATTCTTCAGGGTGCAGGCACTGTACTTCCCACCTCCAGAACTAAACATCCCACCATTCTTCAGGGTGCAGGCACTGTACTCCCACCTCCAGAACTACAACATCCCCACCCATCCTTCCAGGCACATTCGTAATGCCCATCTACCAGGAAGCTACAACATCACCCATACTCATGACATTGTACTCAAGTAACTAGATCCCCCATTTTCAGGGTGAGCATGTACAATTGGCCAAGTACAGAAGCAGATACATATCCTAGAGTGAATGTACTCACCAGGATACAATGACCCACATACTAGGGGCAGGCAGTACATTGACCAGATACAAGTCACCATTCTTCATAACGTACCTGACCATATCAGACAGAAATACATTTAGTGGACTGTATTACTAGAATCAACAGTCGCCATCACTGATCAACAGTACATAGTTGCAGAAAGTTTTATATGATCCAGAGAATATAACTACAAGACATAATTGACCAGAATATAATACTTGACAAGGTACAATTGGCCAGAGTACATAGTAGTCATACATATTGGTGCATGGTACATATTCTAATGACAGAGTGCATTTTAGAGTTTGAAATACATGGTAGTTAAAGAAGTAAATGACAGAGTCTAGTAGCAAGAGTGGATATGAAAAGCTGGTAGTTTCGAGCAGGAATACTGCAGGTAGTTGGCAGAATAATTTGATTTATGGCAGAGTACATGGTTGTCTATATTCAGCAGGTAATGACTAGAGTTGTTTTGATGAATAGTGGTGTTGTTGATCAGAGGATAAGTGGTTGGTTTTCGGCAGGAATAGTGGTTGTTTCAGGGAGGAATAGTGGTTGTTTCGCAGGAATAGTGGTTGTTTTGGCAGGAACAGTGGTTGTTTCAGCAGGAATAATGGTTGTTTTGGCAGGAATAGTGGTTGTTTCAGCAGGAATAGTGGTTGTTTTGGCAGGAATAGTGGTTGTTTCAGCAGGAATAGTGGTTGTTTCCGCAGGAATAGTGGTTGTTTCGGCAGGAATAGTGGTTGTTTCAGCAGGAATAGTGGTTGTTTTGGCAGGAATAGTGGTTGTTTCAGCAGGAATAGTGGTTGTTTTGGCAGGAATAGTGGTTGTTTCAGCAGGAGTAGTGGTTGTTTCAGCAGGAATAGTGGTTGTTTCGGCAGAAATAGTGATTGTTTCGGCAGGAATAGTGGTTGTTTTGGCAGGAATAGTGGTTGTTTCGGCAGGAATAGTGGTTGTTTCAGCAGGAATAGTGGTTGTTTTGGCAGGAATAGTGGTAGCTTGAAAGGTGGTGGTAGGCTGGTACTTTAAGAACGATAGTTTGGCAGAGATTGTGGTTGACTGATAGTAGGGAAGGTAAGAGTGGTAGTGGTTGGGGGGTGGTAGTTGGGTGATAGGGGTTGACACCTTCACATTCATATATGAAAGAAATTTGAAAAAAAAATAATTTTAATAACTCAATGCAAAAAAATATGACCAAAAAACATAAAGCAAAAATAAATCTGAGAAGAAACTAAAAAAAAATAAAAAAAAACTGAGAGAAAAATAGTGAAAACAGATATAAACCAAAGGAATAAATTTGAAAAATACAAACTTGCAGTTTTTATGTAAAATAAATGTTTTTTCTCTATATTATATAATGAGGAGAAAAAATTGCTTTCTAAAATATACAAAATTTATACTTATAAATTAAAAAAATTGACT